TATATATATATATATAAAATGAAATTGATAGAATTTCTTTTAATGACCACATTCCTTTTTTTGATCCTTTTTTTGTAACTTACTATCTCTACTAAAAATTAAAATGTGATTAGCTCCTAGATGGTTATTAAACAATGAAGAGTGACTATATAGATAAAATCCCCACCTCCAAATGCAACAATGCAATCCATTGTTTCCCTAAAATTATAGCATTGCAAACATCTTACTGTAGTACTAAATATATCAGAGAGCCAGCTCACTAGTGTTTGAGTGTTCATCTGCTGTATGAATAATGAAACATCACTGTGACTGTAACTCTTTCTGTCCATGGAGATTTGTGGCAAGTAGATAATTTATTGATTACTCTAGTCATCACTCATGCATTTTTTCGAGATGTAACCTCAATTTATTACTTGGTTCAAATGAAAACATCAAGACGCTTAAATTATTGGTTGCTTGTGCTTGCAATCCTCTCATATGCAAAACTCACATTAACTTCTACAGGAGTAGTGTCATCAGAGAAGTGTGAGCAGTAGAGGCAAGATGCTTCCCGGGCCTACTGGTGTGAAGAAATTCCAAGCTGAACAAACTCTGTGGAGATTAGCACATCTCCTGTCATGTCATGTCATTGGGAACCAGTGTCACCAGGTGCTCTATTTTTCTCTACTGCAGTGGGGCACTAGAGAAGAGACCAGCATGGAGGGAGAGTATAATGGGAAGCTGCTGTCTCTATAACAATGGATTGCTGAGCTGCAGCTATACAATTTACATTATTTTACAGCAGTCACCTCAAAACAACTTGCAGTAGGTCTAAGTGAAGCTCTTCTGTCTCCAACTACTGCTGCTGAGCTTGGCTTCCACTCCACTTATCCAGTATTCTCCACAGCTGATGCTTCCTGTGGCTCTCTGTGGCTGGAAACAGTGAACTCTAGCCAATGGGAGCTGCAAGGCCCTGTGCTTATAGAGCCTTTAGGTAAATAAAGAGATATGGACCTGATAGTGGCTTTCCCACAGCAGGCCTATGGAACACTTTGAGGAACTCTGCTCTCAATGAACTCTCGCTCAGCTCCTTCTGTGATGTATTCTTAATGATTATTTCCATGTACTTCACTTTGTAATACTTCTAAAGCATTTTAGTTTCTGATTAAATATATGGGACCCATTTAGCATGTTTCTGATTAAATATATGGGACCCAATCCTGCAGATTTACATTAGCAGTTCTTCCATTCACAAATCGTTTCACTGAGACTAGTCATGAGAATAAGGGCTACTTGTGTAATTATTTTGAGGATCAGGCCTATAGATTTGATAACTGTGATGAATAGCCACCTATTGTATAGTGGAATAGAGTTGAAGAGATTTCTTGTTCATTTTTATGAACTAAATCTTACAGGTGTGTGCTGAATGTATAAGATAGTTTTTCATTCTCTATTTTGATGTAGATATTTAATCTTCAATAAATTAAATTATATACACTCTATGAAGCCTTTTAGATTAATGGCATAAATATTACACGGATGGAGAACAGGCTCTGGATTCAATGGCCTAGCAGCAAACAAATGGAAGGTATAAAAATGTAACATTCCTTGTACTCAGTATAGTTTGTAGAGCTTTCTGTTTTGTGTGGCAAAAAGGAGGGGTGGGAGAGAGGAGATGTTTTGGGAATATATATAGGCTGATGCTTAAATTTTGAAAAGAAGGAGGGAGAAAATCCTTATTATCCCTGCTCATCTTATTTCAAAACAGGAACTTGGACATGGGGGGGTATTCTCTTTATTTTAAATCCTTCAGATTCCATCTTTCCTCTGCCTCTTATTACTGGCTTGTTTTTCTTTACTTTTGTCTAAGTGATTTGTGAGCATTGAAATGCTCCCTCTGGCATATTTTGCCCAGGTAACTTGTGCTTTATCTTCAGGCTCATTGGCTTTCCAGAGATTTCTGCTGCAGTAGAATGCAGAAAGCTATCAGAATGCTGCAGAGTTGTTTCACAATAAGCATGGTACCCAGCTGTTTGTCCAATGAAATGTTTGGAATTACTTCATGGGAAAGGAGGCAGTATAAATATATTTGGAAAAACTATTGCTAATCTAGGAGCACGAGAGAAGAGCTTGGGACAAGCATCATTTGTTTAACCACAAATTCACATTGATTTGTAAATTGCATGTTAAAATGCAGCGGTCCTAAAGAGCATTTGATTGGCCCTTCCAAATGAATATGTCTTGTGCCTATGTCCCTGTGGTCCAGGTAAGGAAGCTCTGAATCTTTGGTAGACATTTTTTTTTTAAATCACAGCAGCAGATGACTTACACCTAAAAGTAACTGAGAACTAATGGTGAGATTGTAACAGCATCTCCAACTCTCACAGAACTTTATAAGACGAGAAACATCACTATGTTCTCTCAGTCTGCAAAATACTTGATCAATATTTTGTTGTGGCATTTTACACTGTGAACTAGAAAGCTAGGAAGCTTCCCTCACAGTGGGCCAGGCCTGTCAGCTATACCATATGTGGTACCCTTCAGCAATGCTTCCCTTGGTGTTTGTTCTTTGACATTCTCAATTTCTTGTGTTCCTCCTGTGTTCTCTGCATCTACCCCATGTGGGGTTTTACTTTGTGTTTGGACCAAATGCCTTCCATTCTCTCTCTCATCTCATGATATGAACATCATATTAAAAAACACTTTAAAGAATGAAGGAGCTGCACTGGATGGGTGTGCTTACACTGTAGAGGGAAGGTGTCATTTCCAGTCCTGCACTGGGTCTGGCTGAGCTAGTGGACTAAAAATAGAAGTGAGAGGCACTAGCTGCCCAGAGTAAGATCCCATCCAAGATTTGAGGTATGTGCTCTGGCAGCTAGCCCCTCCTGCCCCTTGGGCTGCCATGGCTACAATTGTATTTTTAGTATGCTAGCTCTTATAGAGCTAGTGTGGGCCTGTTTAATGAAGCTGGAAATTATAACGCCCGTCTCCAGTGCAGACACACCCAGTAACGTGGAGAGAGCTATGGCAGCATCTGAACTTGGCATGCTCCCTTCTCTGGTATAAAACATCTCAATTGGATCAGATCATTTATGGATCTAGCCCAGTAACCTGACTCTGACAGTAGCCAGTACCCCATGATTCTGAGAAAGGTGCAAGAAACTGGAAGGGGGAATAGCTATGAGGCTATAAAAAGAGTATGTAGGTATGTGACTGGCTTCTAGAGAGGAACCGTCAAGTGCCCTTTAAGTTTTGACAACCTTTGTATCTGTTCATGTAGCATTTAAGACTGATCCCGAACCCAGGAAAAATAGTATTCAGAAGGATTGACTCATGTTTATAATCTTTACATTTTAATGAATTCCTGTTATTAAAATCAGTTTAGAATTCAACAACAACAACCTCTAGTATGGGAAAGATGGGAACAGAAAAAAATAGGAACCCCTTTATATGTAAATACCACAATGAAGGACAGCATCAAAGTCTGTTAATTATACTAAGACTGTACTAAGATACAAAGCAATGAAGAGGAAAAGAAATCTTCCACAGAGTTGAGTTTAAAATATAGGGCCAGGTCCCTACCTGAAGATTATAATTTCATCTCCATCGAAGTTAATGAATTGACACCAAAATTCAGATGCAGCTTTAACCATATTTGGGTTTTTAAAAAGCCCATTATGTCACTTCTGAAAACCAAATGGCTAATGTCATTTCAGATATATTTATCTGCATTTATAACTCAAACAGCAGTAAAAAGTAATGGAGGAAATTTGCACTGGTGATTTTTAGCCTTTAGAGCCAATTTCAACGTGTTTCTTATGGTAAAAAAGAATAGCAGAATATCAACTGATTACATATGACTGTATACATTATTTTCATATTATTAACTGTCTGGTTGAAGGAAAAAATGCATTGCCTCTAAATCAGTAAGGATAAAATTGTTTTAGCAAGTAAGTAGTTAGTTTAATGAGAAATCAATGGACACTAGGATGTTTTCTATCCTTACTTTCAAGATTTTCAAATAAGTATTCTGTAAAATGTCCACCTTGCCTGTTCTTCTTTGAAAGATAATCGTTTGGCATATGGCTTAAACATATTTCATCAGCTGTTTTTTTTTGCTGTCCAAAAAAGCTCTTGCATTGTCTGATGCCAGCTGTGATGGTTTGGTTATAGGTTTTTTTGTTTGGTTGTTTGGTTGGTTGTTTGGTTGTTTGTTTGGTTGGGTTTTTTTTAAGCAATGAAAGTTGCAGCTGCAATAGCAGATGGCATTCTTCTGCAAATAAGATTTCTTGCTTCTGCAGCCCATTAAGCCATGAAGTCGGTTTTGCACATGTGTGCATATATGAATTAGCTGAAGGCAACTACCCAGCTTTTCAAGTCTATCTGAAAATGAGGAGTTTAGACCAGGAATAGCAATCCACTACTGACCATATAAGATCACTTTCACTCACATTGAAAGAGCTAGGAGAAAGTTCATTAAATTGCTGTTCTTTAATTTCCAGGTCTTATTCACTACTCTGTGTGCATGGGCCTGTAAGTTAATCAAATGTTGCAGCACAGTAACCCTGAATTTTCTAATACCTTTCAGCAACCTTTTTTTCAAAATACTCATGCGAGGCAGAAAAGACACCTGGAGGTTCAATACTGATGTCAGTTGAGACAGGTTGTTAACCCCTCTGAACTACTTTAAAAGCACTTAAAATGTAAATAAAGAGTGGAAATGGCTGTGTTAGTCAGTATCCTTGTCTCCACACAATGGGTATGTCTAGACTGCATCCCTCTGTCAGCAGAGGGATGCAGATTAGGCAGGTCGACACTGGAAATGAAGCGGGGATTTAAATATCCCGGACCTAGTTTGCATAAAATTGGCCACCGTTTTTGCAAACTCAGCACTTTGTCAGCAAAAAGCAGCAGTCTAGAAAAGAAAGCCTTTTAAGACAGATACCTTATGCCTCCTGCAAGGAGGTTTACAGGGTCAGTAGAAAAAGGCTTTCTTTCTTGATAGATCCCCCTCTAGCCTGCTGATTTTTGCTGACAAAGTGCTGAGTTGGCAAAAACAGCGGGCATGTTTATGCAAATTAGTCATGGGATATTTAAATCCCCGCTTCCTTTCCATTGTCGACCGGCCTAATCTGTATCCCTCTGCCGACAGAGGGATGCAGTCTAGACATACCCTATGTGCTGGAGATATAGGATATGCCCAGAGGTCTCTATGAGTCATAGGGCACCAAAGAACAACATTCAGGATACGTCTAGACTACAGGCTTTTCTCGAAAGAGGCTTTGTCAACAGAACACAGTGGTAGTGTAGACGCAGGTATATTTTGTTGACAAAAGTGAACTTTTGTCGACAAAACTATACCCGCGTCTATACTACCACCAAGTTCTGTTGACAGTAAGTTGACATAACGCGGCAGTTTTGTTGACGGCGGTAAACCTCATTCTATGAGGAATAACGGCTTTTTTCCAAAGAGTTATGTCTAAAAAAGGTGCTATTGCATCCACACTGCTTTTTCAAAAGAGAGTATATAGACTCTCTGTCAAAAAAGCAGCTTGCTTTCTCAACAAAACTGGCTGTAGTCTAGACGCTCTTTTTCGACAGAGGCTTTTTCGACAGTATCTGTCAACAAAAGCATGTTGTCTAGATATACCCTCAGAGAATACATCCCTGAGGAATTTCTAGCTATTGGTATTTCATGGTCTAATAGGATATGTCTCCACTGTCACCCTAGTTTGAACTAGGATGGCTAATGTAGGCATTCGAACTTGCAAATGAAGCCCGGGATTTAAATATCCTGGGCTTCATTTGCATGCTCCCGGGTGCCACCATTTTTTAAATGTCCCGTAATTCGAACTACCTGCCCACGGCTACATGCGGCACGAACTAGGTAGTTCAAATTAAAGCTCCTAATTTGAACTACCATTAAACCTCCTTGCAGGGGGGCTTCATTTGCAAGTTCGAATGCCTACATTAGCAACCCTAGTTTGAACTAGGATGGCAGTGTAGACATACCCATACAGCATTGCAGATATACTAGTAGTGCATGATTCCAGCCAATCTTACTCCACTCTTCTTACAGAAACCACTGGAAAAGTGCTAGTACGAGAAAATCTCAGCTGCAAACCTTCTCTATGGGTGAGGGAAATGCTCCAAGGAGGCATCATAACAAAAACTGAAAGGAGAGAAATTGAAGAAAACAGGAAACAAATGAATAATCAAAGAAGTATGAGTAGTTAACAGGGACCCAAAGGAAAATAAATGTCAAGTGGAGAAATAAATGGTTCTAGTCTTAACAACAATTAAACTGCTACCAGAATCTGAAATGCTTTGAAATTAAAGAGCCTCCCAGCATTGTGAGTACCTGAATATAACCTTCTAAAATTTTGCATCTGATCAGAGCATGTGCACATCAGAATAACACAGGAATTGATATACTGTATTACTTTTGAATAGTTGAGTTTATTGTTCTGCCAATAACTCATGTAGATGGAAGGTAGGCAGCAGTCAATCACTCATGAGAGGGGACCCACCCACGGATTAGTTTTACTTTTATTATTGCAGCATCCAGCTTGACAGTTCCTGACCAGAAGAGATCATGGTCTCTTTCTCAGTACCACCTAAAAACGGAGGGTAGCAGATGATCTTGACATCTCTCCACCAATATTTTTCCTATTCAATCAAAATAATTTTTTTGCAATTCTCCATCATGTACAAGAAGGTGGCTGAGTGAGTGACTAAAGTTCTGATTTCTGCAAATTGCTTGTATATAAAAACTATTTGACTCCTACTAGTTTGTTAATGCATATGGAGGCAGCAAAAATTTAAAGGAAAAAATACTGTCTACAGGACTCAGATCAGAGAAGCTGACCTAGCCATTGATCAAACACTGTTCTTAGCAATTCAGAATTTCTGTCTAACTCCCTGTTCCCCATGCTCACCAAACACATGACCTAAACAAAAGTAAAGATAAATATTTAACAAAATTTTAAATAATACTCCTACATTTCTCCCCTGGGAGGCTGGTGCTGAGAAGAGCAAATTTTACAATAAACCAACGGTAAAATCTTGGTATCAGAATATGTAACTACAGACTCACTAAATTGACTTAGCATAATGGTAATAATATGTATTATACTCCAACACATGCATATATATTAGAGCATGTGCATGTATTTAAGTGTTTTAAATCACTTGAAAAGTTTTCCACATTAATTTCCTAATAACCTCTTAGAATATTGCATGGTGATTTTTAAACAGGTACAGTTCATGTGATTTTGTTTCCTTGAACAATACTAGTGTCAGCCTACAATTTCAGAAATATTTGATTTTAAGTTTTGTAGCAAAGTTGATGAAACTAGATAGAAACCAAAAAAAAAAAAAAAACAGATTAATGTTCAAGTAAACCTCAAAAAAAAAAAAAAAAAAAGGCTTTCTGGAATGCCTAACCCTTCAAATACAAAGCTGTTTAAATCTGGTTTGACTAGTCTACCACAAAGCGAGTAAGGAATAAGCCAAGTTGATGTAATCTTTAACCCATTTATAAAAAGAAGGAATTCTTACCTTTTCTAATTTTGATAGTGCAAGAGAGTAGCAGTCTTTGGCTCTGAACTGCATGAATCTCATATTAGCTGGGTGAGTTAGTTCGGTGATAATGCTTAGACTGGAAAACAACCTATATATTTAATGAAATGTTATAATTATACCTCAAATTCTCATAAATCACTTATTTTACATTCTTCTGCACTTTATGCATATCCCCACATTTATAATTAATTGTAAAATAATTCTGGCTTTTGACACAAGATTACTCATAACTAACAGCAAGAAATGCTGCACAAAATATTCTCCATAGACTCAGGGGAAGCAAATGTATTTTAGAAGTGGAGCTTGCTAGCTTTTAATAAAATAAACATGTACTGCAATTGCTACAGGTTTTCAGATGACACTTAATCTCTAATATGACACTAGTCTATATGAAGAGAGAAAAAACAAGAAACATTTAAAGATAATTCTTGTATGTAAACTGCCAGTATTAAAAATAGGGTTATACTCAGTTATTCACCAATGATTTCTCTTCTTGCTGTTGTGTAAATGTCTGCAAACTATACAAGCCACCAACGTACTTAATGTAAAGCTGAAATTAACATTTGTTGAAAAAGCAGTGACTTAAATTGCTGAGGAAATCAGATGTGCCATAGAGTTGGACTTGAGATATTTACATATGTAAAAGGCATTTAATTTGCTATCCATTGAATTAATAGATGAGATACTAGATTGAAGCCCCAGGGTCCTGGGGAATTTTAGGATAAAGGGAAAGACTATAGAGCAGTGGTTCCCAAACTTTTTGGCATCACGCACCCTTTTTGATTTTTGAGAAACCCTCCCCTCTCGCTCCCAAAAAAATAGTAGCAAAACTTGGGGTGGGATTGATGAGGTGTGTGTGTGGCTGGGTCACCTCACGTCCCCCCTGGAATTTCTTCATGCGCCCCCCGGGGGGCACGCCCCCAAGAGCAGTAGGCCCTTACTTCAGGTGTTTCACTGTCCATTGGTTAGGCAAGGGGACTACTAGCATTCATTTAAACATGGGCATACAGTTTCTCAACCCTTTTGCCCCATTATTAGCTGAACCTTCTCACCTCATAACTACGTAGGAAAGCAACTGTTTAGGTTGCTGAGGTTTTACCTGCTTACTCATCAATTGACCCACAAAATCAGTTGAATTCCAGGTCCAGTGGTCCCTCCCACAAGGCTGGAGAGGGGGCCGTTAGTAGTTGGGAGGCTTTCACCCGCCCACTTCCCGTAATTCAAATAGTGCTTGTTTAAGTGGCCAGTACGGAATGGACTGTGGTCTAGCTGGTTTTTTGCCTTCCTCACAGAATCATGAAGACACAGGCTAAATAGGCATAGAACTCAGGCATTGCATGAAGTGAGTCAAAACCTAGTTTCCAGTGTGTATAACCAAGGGTCACAAGAAATAAATAAAAGATATGGGATTTGGCTGGTGAATCTCAGGTCTATGGGGAAACAGGAGACCTGAAGTCCTTGAAAACTGAAATCTATATTTCAGTTCCTTCAGAATCATGAAGACACAGGCTAAATAGGCATAGAACTCAGGCATTGCATGAAGTGAGTCAAAACCTAGTTTCCAGTGTGTATAACCAAGGGTCACAAGAAATAAATAAAAGATATGGGATTTGGCTGGTGAATCTCAGGTCTATGGGGAAACAGGAGACCTGAAGTCCTTGAAAACTGAAATCTATATTTCAGTTCCTTCTGTTCCCTTTTCAGCACGAAAGGCAAAGAGACTCAGCAGTGCAAGCTGAATTCTGGGGAAAGCAGTAGAGAGCTCACCATGAGTTATGGGCTATATGATCATTGTCCTGTAAACCCCACACTTGATCCACCTAAATGACGGGTATGGGAATATGAGTGGATGGTACCCTTCTCTAATATTAAACTTTATTTTAGTTTTGAGGGACTGCTTATCGTCATTAGTGTGTTTGTCCTTCTCTTCAGTATCTTGATCACTGGAGAAGTGTAACACATTCCCACTAGCCTGAACACATGCTTTTTAAAAAAAGGATCACTTAATACTGTGTTGGATGTATCACATAGGTGCTTCTAAGCACTATACTACATATGTATTTTCAATAGCAACTGTCGACCTGGTAAATATATGGATGTGCTATGAAGCCAAATGCCAGAACTGGGGAGAACAAGGGATACAGTTTGCCTCAAAATTTCAAAGTTTAGATTTCCATGGTTTCCAAAATAATAACACCAACTGTTTTCTTCTAAATAAAAAATGTTGCTGAGATTTGAGAAAATTGAAGGATTCCATTCTTATAATTGAAAACTGCATTAACCTTATCATTTGTAATAGAGTAGGCTATGTCTACACTGGGAAGTTATTTAGAAATAACAAGGTGAGCATCCTAACTACCAAGCCTGTTATTTTAAAATTATTTCAAAATAATGGGCTTGTTATTTGGAAATAATAACCCCTGCTTCTAATGAGGAATAGTGCCTATTTTGAAAATGTTATTTTGAATTAGGGTTAGTCTGAATGCTCAGCAGCTGTTATTTCAAAATAATAGGCCTCCAGAAGTCTCTCAGAGCTGCACTTGTGGCCTTTCTGGTCTGGGGAGAGGAGTCAAACCTCCAAGATCTTCACACCAGACACCGCAATAAAATGTCTATAGCTGGAGTGCCACCAGACTGGCCCAGAAGGTGCTCTAGGACCAGGTGCCCATGAAAATTAAGGAACTGTCGCAGGGCTACACCAAGGCCAGGGAACAAAGTTCCCACTCTGGGGCAGCACCTCAGATCTGCCACTTTTACGTGCAAGTGGATGACATCCTGGGAGGGGGGGTAAATCAACCCCCCATCATCAACTCTGGCCAAGACATGCCCATCGTCAGCTTTCACGAGGGTGAGACTGTGGAGGAGGAGGAGCTGGCTAGCCTGGACAATATGCCTACAAGACAGGAAGTCGTCATCTGCCTGGAGCCGGTCCCCCCTTCCCTGTCTCCCAGGGTTTGAATGAAGCCATGGAAGGCACTTTCAGGTGAGTTGGGCGGGGGGTGGGCGGTGAGGGGCTGCCTGCACCTCGCTTGGTCTTCTTGGCCTGAGGCCCACACAGCAGCCTATGCACATGGATTCACTGTGTTTGGTGCGCTCGGGTGGCAGCAAAATGGTGCTGACATAGGGGACCAAGTAGAAAGTCTGTTACTACTATGATGGGGATGTTGCAAACTACTATTATGGCTAGGGCCATCCAACAAAACCCCACAGGATACAAATGACCCACAACCTCCTGCCAAACTATAGTCTCTACAGAAAAACGGCACCACATCAACCCCACAAGACAAACGTAGAAGAAATGACCAAGTATCATGGTGATGATTACATTACATTTCTGAGATCTATTCACCCTGATAACTTGTCTGAGTACAGCAGGCAGATGCAGAGATTCAATGTTGGGAAAGATTGCCCAGTGTCTGAATGGTTGTTTGAGTTTTGTCAGCTGTCTGCAGGAGGTTCTGTAGCCAGCACTGTGAAGCTGAACAAGCAACAGACAGATATTGCTGTGAATTGGGCAGGAGGCCTTCACCATGCTAAGAAATAGAAGGCTTCTGGCTTCTGTTACGTCAGTGACATTGTCTTAGCCATCTTAGAGCTCCTAAAGTACAACCAGAGGGTGCTGTATATTGACACTGATATTCATCATGGCAATGGCATGGAGGAAGCCTTTTACACCACAGACTGTGTCATGACTGCCTCCTTTCATAAGTACAGCGAATACTTCCCAGGAGCAGGGGATCTGTGGGATATCGGTGCAGGTAAAAGCAAGTATTATGCCGTCAACTATCCTACCTGGGACAGAATTGACGATGAGTCCTATGCAGCAATATGTAAGCCGGTAATATTGGTTCCAGCCCAGTGCAATTGCCTTGCAGCGTGGATCGGATTCCCTCTCAGGGGACAGGCTGGGCTGTTTCCATCTGACCATCAAAGGTCATGCCAAGTGTGTGGAGTTCATAAAGAGTTTCACCTTGCCCATGCTGATGCTAGGAGGGGGTGGCTACACAATCTGCAATGTGGCAAGATGCTGGACTTATGAGACTGCTGTGGCTTTGGACATAGAAATTCTGCATGGAGTGCCCACACAGAGCGCTCAGCCCCATGACACTCTCACAAAGGAACCGCTCGCTCTTTCTCACAAGGTTCCTGCACAGGCCTGCCTTACTCCGAACCCCGGAGTGGGACACCCTCCTGTGACAAGCCACCACTAAGGAAGCTGGGGTCATGGAAATACACAGCAGTGCTGCACACAACACAGGTTTGTGCCCACACTTTTGAGCAGCATGTGCTCCCAGGCAAGTGCGGGGAAGCGGAGGAGACCAGTCCCTATCATAGGAATCTGCTGAGGAGTGAAGAGGAGTTGACGCTGGTAGCACTCTCTCTGGAAAGTGGCATCTGCAACTCACTCACCCCTCCCCCCAACCCTCAGCCTCTCCTCCAGCGGGCAAGGATAGAAGTTTTCTCTCTGCAAGATTCTTCCAGTGCCAGACCCAGCGAGTGTAGGACATGGAAGGAATTCAAGCCACCCTGTCCTCCCTCCTTCCCACAGGCTACTGGCTTGGCTTATACATTCCCATGCCAGCTTCTCCCTGAGATGTGGGGGTAGTGAGGCTGCCCTGAGATGTCTGTCCCCTGCTCAAAAGTGCCCGCTGTCTAAACAACATATGGCGTTGCTCAAAGCACATCACCATCATCTGAACCGAGACCTTCAGTGTTGGCTCAGAGATTAGGGCCAGGCTTCATGCACTTTGTCTCCTGGGGTGACTGCCCTTGTCATTTTTCTTCACAGCTGGGTCAGCTGCAAATGTGGCACGTCCAACACTTTCCACGTCAGGAACTCCTGGACTGCCCCTGGTCCCTCAACAAGAACTTTGAGGAGGTGTGCCAGAAGCAGTTTACCAAACACAAGGGGGGCCAGGCTGACCGGGAGCTGAGAAGAACCATCTGGCAGCAAATGTCCTGCCAGCATGAGACAATGTTCTCCTTTATCATCACCGTCGTGGAGCACCACATGATGGCCATTGAGCAGTCCACCAGCCACTCCTCAGCACCCACTCCTCCCCAACTCCCAGAAGCTGCTTCCCCCAA